GTTTTCTTTATTAATATTCCAGTGAAAGCTTGTGTTTCCTAAACTGCACTAGAACAGGTGAACAGCTGCAGGGTGGTTTTTTGTTTGCTTGTTTTTAGCACTGGATGAACTGTTACTCAGTAGCTGTTTGAATGGAGACAATAGATGGTAACTTTATCTGACAGAAGGTGTCTGCTATGGCAGTAGGTACCTGAAGTCTTAACAGTCACTGTACATTGCCCTGCTTCAGAGAATGCAGCATAATATTATGGTTTTATATAAATTTAAGACCCCTATTTGGAGATGTGAAAGTGGTGAGTGGATGTATTGAAGGACATGAAATTAAATTATTGATAGAAATCTAATAATTTTAAACAGTATTTTAGACATTAGCCCAAGAGAAAGGAGAAATAGTCTCATATGCAAAATTCTTTCTCTTCACATAGCACCTCTTGGTGGCTTTGGGAAAACAGGTAAATGAAAAGGAAAGAAACATAAATACAAATTCCTAATTTGTAAGAATGGCATTATCATAATTTTGTTGATTGATATAAAACATTTCATAAAATGCCAGGCTCTAGGAATGCAATGCTGTTAATTTAAGGGCAGTTAATAGTGATAAAATTATTTTTTGCCTGCATCATTATCTAAAGCAGCCCTTTCCTAACTGCTCCAAACGATATTTTCTTGTTGTATTATTACTGCATACATTAAACTAGGAGCAGCTGCCATTCTGACAGGCCCTTTCTCATCTCATGTTATCTAGGGTGGAAGTCAAAGGCCAATACTGTGTTTGCCCAGTTGGTGTTACTGTTTTTAAACATCTGCTTAGACTGAGCATACTACTTTCTCTTCAGTGATGTGGTCATGACTCATTGCTCTGTATCTCATTACAGGTGATACTTAATGATTTCTGTGTAATGTTCAGCTAGTTACATGTTAGGTAAATGAGGTTACTGAATCCTTTTTTTTGTTTCATCACATTTCAATCCAGGTATTTTCCCTCACATTATTGTCTCCCTGTTTCATGTGTTTTAAAACATATCTTAACAAGATAGCAAGTTTTTTCAGTACCATACATCAGAGACTTCTTTTCAGGTTGTGTTCATGTTGTCCTGTGTTTTTAGGACTTGTAAAAAGATTATTCTTAGATGATGTTTTAAGGTTTCATAATAATTTTCTGATTTGATTTTGTGTTGTGCTGAGTTGGATGAGGTGTCTGTGCAGTGGTTCTATGTTTGTATAGGTATTTTAGAGGTGAAATGGAACAGGCAGGACTATGTTTTGAATACTGTTACCTGTTTTTGAGTGAGTTTTGCCTTTTAGAGTTCTTCCTTAAGGTGACTGTCTTCAAGAATCCCAGAACTTAGGTAATCTAAATCAATACTTATTGCTGAAAATAGGAGACAAACCATTGAAGTTTCTGGTCCAGGTCTGTGCCAAGCCATTGGTAGAACACTGAGTACTGATTCCTGTACACGCACCTCCTCATCATGCTAGTTTCCATTTAGTCATAAAGTTCAGGAAAAATATATTTCACAATATACTGCTTCTCATTTCATCTACCTGCGTGTTCCTGCCATGAAGTAATTAAAATAATGAAAACTGGTAAGCAGAGTGGGTAAAGATCTCTTACTTGTAGTATTGAACTTGTAAATAATTAAGCAGCTATCGTCACTGTCAGGTTATTACTTTAAGCACCTTTTTCAGGTGTTGGTTACTCAGTGCACTGGGATGAGGAAATAGCAATGAAACAAGACTATATCCTTAATAACAGGACTGAATATTTTGCTCAGTATAAAAAAAAAAGCAGCCTTTAAACCTCCTTTAGTGATCACTGCACAATTGCATAATGACTCAGGGATAAACTTTTCCTAATGCTCAACTGCCAATTAAGTAAGATAAAAGCTAGCTATGTAGATAAAAAAATATAAAATATCCCAACTGAATACAAATATTACATAACAGCAACTAATCTGCATGTTAATTATAGCTACAATAATGGCAGGAGCTAGGCTGATCATGAGAGTCTGTTCCAAATCATACTTGGCAGGGGATGATTATTTTACTTAAATTTTAATTAAGAAATAATATGGGTGGGAGATTTTAATAGAGGTGAAGTAAGTAGCATAAATACAGAAATACAGCCATTCAATGCATTAAAGACTTTAATACCTTTAGAGAATCAAATACTGAATAGGTTTGTCATGTTTTACTGCTCTATTCTATTGGCAACGAAAAGTCAATACAGCAAAAGAACTGTAGGTTATGAAAACCTTTTCAAAATATAAAAGCTACCTTTCTCCTTCAATTAAGTAAATTGCTTCCTATTTCATTGAGTGCTAGGAAATTTTAAATTATTTTTATATCTTGTGAGCAATCACATCTATTGACAAAAGATTGGGGGTAAGGAACATGTATACAATAAAAGAATTTTCTAACCTTAATACAAGTTCAATAAAATTGACTTTTTTATTCAGCTTTTTGTTTAGTGATCTGTAGTTCTGTGACTTTCTATAGCAAGGTCTGTAGTTGTGAGTGTTTTTAGCAAGGTGTGCATCTGTGCACTTTTAAACAAGTGCTGCTGGGTAAAAATATCAAAAAAAACTGTGGTTTCATCCTGGCTCTGCCAGTGACTCCTCTAGTGACTGAGTTAGGTACCTCATCACTACCTCACTTTCTTATCTGAGAGCAAGAGATAATTATACCTCCTTTACTATGAAAACCACATTAGTTCATTCAATAGAAACTTGTACAGAGTATGAAAGCACACTGTGCAATGCAGAGGAGGACCATGGAGCAAAACTGGTGCGAAGCTTACAGTTCTGAAAGACAAGCTCTAGCAGTTACAAAAGGCAGAGAAGCTGGTGGGAAGAGGGAAAGACATGTCACGTGTGGTGTTTTAAGCAGTCTGTAGCTGTCAGGGCTGTGGGGCTCCCATGGGCCAGGGGCCTGCCCAGCGCCATGGCTGGGCTGGTGGGGCAAGACCTGGCCTGGAGCCTTCTTGGGCCAGCCTGGGGCAGCAGCCCATGGCTCAGGCACAGGGAGCTGGCTGTGGCCTCACCAGGGCTGGAAAGGACAGGGCTGTGGGAGCCCTGGATGGGGCTGAAGTGGTGTCCTGGGCCACAGAGGGCGTCTGAGTCACGGGAGACCCTGGGGACGGCAGCCAGGACCAGTGAGGCCTTGGAGATATGTCTGGGTAGCCTAAGCTTCAGTATTGTTTGGAGTACAGAGCCTAGTGTTCTCTTTCCTGGTTTGTAATCGAAACCTTGATGGTGATGAAGGCATTTCTTTGGGTCTGATCTCTGTGGCTTTGGGTCCCAGCTGGCTCCAGGAAAGCGTTCCTGTCGCACATCATTGTCCTCTGCAGTGAGCTCATCTGTAGGTTGTGCTCGGTGCGTGTGCGGCACAGGATACGTCTTTCAACGCCGAGAGTAGAACATCTGATTCACTGCGTCCAAATTTGTCTGTGAATGAGGTCCAGCTATGCAAATACAAAGTAATTTTAAATTTCTGTTGCGTTATTTGCTTGGGAAGTGTACTGAATTACTGTTGTAACTCTAAATAATTTGTTATTATCCATATAGTAACATCACACTTTGCTGTAATCGCTAGTAAGAACATGGAACCTGCTTTCTGGGAGGGAAACTAATAGAAAAGAATCTGATTACCTAATTAAGTTGCAGTTTTGAGCTTCTCTGAAAACAACTGTTGGTTTCTGTTTTACATTTTTAGCATTGTTTTACTGTTCATTGCTGACAGATTCAATGATATTGCTTTATTAGCTCAGTGTTACTCTCAGGAACTTCCTGTACCCTTGTGTCCAGCTGTGTCCTCAAGGCCATCTCACAGCTATGCGTTTTGACCATCACAGGATATACTTCTACTGCAATAATTATCACATAACCACCATTTATACAGCATCCTTGCTTGTATAAAAGATATCCCAAAGGGGATTAATGGCAATTGATTTCCTGCTTACTGGCCTACAGACAAGTAATCTGTAAACAAGATCATTCAAACTGTTGGTCTGTGCAGAGTGCTTGGAACACTAATGCAGGTCTAGTGCTCAGGACTTGCTTCACTGCTGAATTTTGCTGCCTCTCCTATTTTTGTTTAGCATAACTTGTCAAGTATTCAGGAAGTCATTAGTATTATGCTGTCACCAAAGGCATGCTCGTGGCACAGTGATGCTTTGCATGCAGTATGATTTAAACACTGTACAATCCATGCTGGCTTTTCCAGTCGTTTCCCTTGATGTTTGTGCAGCACCCATGACTGTTGCACATCACAAGCAGTCACAGAGCACGACATCCTTGCTGCAGCATCCATGAGAGACTGATATGAATTCCAGTGCATGTTACTCATCAGTGAGCTTGGTGCAGCTGAGGCTCCTCTGATTTCTAGCTCTTCTTTCTGTGAGAGCCACTTACTGACAGAATAATTCCTGTGATATATTAAACACTTCCATTGAAACACAGGTTCACTGATAGTGTGGCAGCTCCCTGCAGATTCTTTATGATGGATTTTGTTCCCCTCACACTTCATAATTGCTGTCTTGTTACATCATGCTTCTCAGTGAAGGTTTACTCAGATAATTAATTCTAGTGATGGGAAATTAAAATTGTGCATAAATTATGTTCACACCTAGTATGCAGTATTTTGAACTGATACATCGAAAGGTCTTTGGGTGTATGTCTGACAGATTCATTTGTAATTGCAAACGGAGCTGTTGTCAATTATGTTGCTTGTAACAAAGTAACATATTGAATATTTAGTGCTAAGTATATGTTTTGAAGATGTAATGTCAAGGAGAGTATTATCTAGTTAGTCTGGTACCTTATAGAACATTTCTATTTCTCTTATTTCTAAAGATGTGTCCAAATAGGTTCTTAGTTTTACCTAGCAGGGATCCAGGAAGACAGATTTTCTGGTTTTTATTGCTAGTCTTGGCCCCACCTATATACTGAATTTCACTGTCAAATTGCTAACATTAACTAACCCAAATACTTACTTTGCAGGAGGCCCAGAAGATCAATGGTGGTGGAGATACACAGGCAGATGGAGCCTGCAAACCAACAGATGAAAAAGAGGAGAATGTGGCAGCAGAAGTGGGATGGATGACGTCTGTGAAGGATTGGGCAGGAGTCATGATATCTGCCCAGACATTAACTGGCAGAGTACTTGTAAGTTTTCTGTGATTTTCTATGTTTTTATTTTAAAGGAAGCACTGTGTCCCAGCATTAGTGGAGGGTTTTTGATTGGTTTGTTGCATCAGCACTGAGTCAATCCTAATTTTCTCTGCAAATAGCAGACTAGTTCCCACTGCAAGAGAGAGGCAGAGACAGCAAGTAAGAAAAAATGACTGCCAGTCCACTCACCAGCCTATTTCACTACTCTGCCCCATGATTTTGAACTACAAACAGTGAATTTATTAATTTCATATTAGGTGTTAAAAGTAAGACTATAAAATACAGACCTGTTTTTATCTGAAAGTAAAATTGTACCTGGAAGAATGGAAGCAAACATAGAAATTAAGCCCAGTGTTACAAATGTAGAGAGTGGTCAGAACTGGAAAGCAAAGACAAGATTGAAATGGCTATGCAACGAGATTTGTGATATATTCAATAGACTAATAATGATTTTATATTTCCTTTGTACTTTTCTTTATTAGTGTAAAAATCCTTCAAACCTGTGAGCAGTTACATATCAAATGGAGACAGATGATGATAATGTGTGGCTTAAAGGGAATAAAACTTTTTCATTTTTCACTTTATTTAAACAGAATTGCTTTAGAGCATTGTCAAATATTAAAATGCAAGGGTTTTGTGTGGAGTTCGCTGCAGTAAAAAGTGTCTCCTCTGTAATTTGGATTAGATTTCTTTTTAGAATGCACATACTTATAAACTAGAAGCTAAAGTGATTAAAATCACTTCAGAGAATCCCAGTGAAATTTTGTAACTGGTTCGAAATAAAATCATCACTGAAATATAATGTTCTTGATGCCACAGCCTTTGAAAACGTGTCTTTTGCTCTTCAACAATGTAGATGGGAATTTGACATGTGTTTTAAAAAATGTCTCCATGTTAAATTGCATAAGCACATGATTTGAGAACATGCTAATTGAACCCATGCAGTTCTGTTTGCATTTGATGTTGAATGGCATAAATATAAATAACAGTAAAAGGCACAAGTTTGCATAAAATCTGTTCAGGAAAATACTGATTTACTTTGAAGTGCTGTAAAATGCTGTAGATGATGGAAGTATCAGATTTCTGAGGTAAGTTTCTCAAAGAAGAATCAGACACATTCATAATTAATCTCGAGATGCAGGAAATTAAACATGTTTATGAACTGATTTTGCTTCCTGAAATTATATCATTTGAGTAAGAAGAAAAAGATTTTCTTAATTAGATGGAGTGTTTGATATACAGAATGAAGTCATACGTATATTGTTGAATTTGACACAGTTCAGTCTATGGGAATCTGTAGACCCTTACTGGACTTCTGAGAAATTATTAAGAAAGGGTAGAGGGCCTCACTACTGATTTGGGGAAAACCAGTGGATCTTTAATTATATAAGTATTTATAGTAAATTTTCCTGGGAAATATAGATCGGTATTTTATATGCCTTTTGGTCTGTTTCCTTGTGTGTTTTGGTTTTTTTCAGTATTTTTCACAGCTAGATTTTTTCTTGCTGCTTTTTATTTACTTTTAATTTCTTTTTTTTTTTTTTTTTTTCTGAATGAAAGGACTCAAATTTTTTTAGCATTGAGTGGGGGAAAATCCCCACAAGTTCTTGTGATATGTAATAGCTTTCTAGCTGCCAGAGTGAAATTTAATAGTTCAGAAATTGTGGGGTTTCTCCCTGTTTCCAAAGACATAGTGGCTGTTATCTCCTTGCTTTAATGAGAATAGGAGCTCAAAGGATAATTTGGTATTTGACAGATAAGAAATTGGACAAGCAGTTGTGGCTGGTATACATATACATTTTTTGACAGTGTTCTTGACAGTATCAGCTATTTCACCAGGTTTTCAAAGCAGGAAGAGAAACCTTCAGCAAACATGAGTATGCAACATTTCAGAATTCAATTATGAAGTTTAATATGTTTTCTCGAGGATCAGACAAGTTCTCATAAATTTCTTTTTTTTCTTTCTTTTTTTTTTTTTTCCTTTTGGATCCCTCTCATCCTGGAAATGTCCTGTAACCAATCTTCTTGTGAAATTAACATAGCTTTTTTTCATTTTTTCTGAGCATGTGTAATATTCTATGGATGCAGTTAATCTGAATAGGACTTAATTTAGAATAAAATATATTAATTGGCTAGAGAGTAGGAATTGAATGCATGCTTCAGTGATTTAGTCTTTCATACTCATAGTGTTCCAAGTTTTACAAGTCCAATATAGCATTAGTTTTGCAGCAGTGAAGCACATGCATTCTTTGATAAAACAATTTGTTTGCTCTGACATTACGATTTTTCTTAGTTATGCAAGGTTTGGTGGGACTTAGAGAAAATCCTAGTCAGGCAAAAATAAATAGTGCCATATCTGCCCTTTAGCTGTGGTCTAGGTTTCTGAACATAAAGGAGAAAAGGGAAAGTCTTTCTCAGCTTCTAGATCTGACTGCACAGGCAGGACTCACAAGATGTTCCATGCCCTGGGTGTTATGATGTGGTTTTGCTGGTGGCCCACACCTCTTTTTTTTTTTCCTCCTCTTTTTTGGTTTTGTTTGCTGCTGCCTTTTTTTTTTTTAAGTTATTTTAGTTCTTGGAGATGGAAAGAATTATATATGTATTTTAGATTATACACTATTACATTTGTATAAAAGTTCCCTTTTCCGCATTGAGGTCAAAAAGTAAGAGAAATGACATAAGGATTGAAGAGCAGATTCTTCCCTAGCTGGGGCATTTGTAACAAGGCAGTGCCCAAAGTGCTTTGCATGTACCTTGCAGGGTGTCAGTGTAACTGCACAGGTCTGATCATTGCAGATGTTCAGAGATTATGAACGGCTTGTCAGTGTTTGGCACTCACCTGCCAGCTGTTCACGGGGAATGGTTTAGATTCTGCTCATCTCTATTGAGAAATGAACTTTGTTTAGTTATTTTTAATCTTTCATAGGCCTTGGTGGCACATAAATGAATACAAGGGATGAGTTCTAGATTGCCTTCATCCGTGACAATGATGGGGGCTATTTCCAGGGTTTCCATAGGAATAGGAACAATGTTCTCCATGTAAGTTCATGAGGTAATGATAATGGAATAGAGTAGGAAGTGTTGAGTAAGTCTTGTTTGTTTCTATGGTAACTGCATCTAGTTTAAATTCCAGTTATGCATTTTCTGAATATTTATTTGTTATTGACAATAGCAAGGGGGGGTTTTTGCAGGTTTTTTTGTTCTGGATTGAAGGGTGGGCTTCTGCTCAGAGTCTGGTGAGAAAGTTCTTCTATTGCACGTAGGTCTTTAAAACCACACATGGGTGCTACATTTAGATGTAGCTGTTCTGATTGTTGCTGTACTTTTTATTTTTGGGAAACTGCTGTAATTTCAGTGGATCTTGTACTTAAAGGAATAATGCATACTGCATGATGATTCTTGGGGTGTCCTCTGCAGGACCAGGAGTTGGATACAATGATTCTAATGTATCCCTCCAATTCAGCATATTCTATGATTAACATATGTTAAACTTAAATTTTCTTTTCTCTGAGGTTTTTCATGAGTTATATGGCTAATCAAACATAAACTGCATTTTTTCTGCTCAGTTTTACCAGTTTCAAGTACTGCTATGTAGAGAATGGATAAGGTTAGCATAAGGTACATGTCCTGGTAAAATCAAATCAAGAAATGAATAAAAAGTACATTTTATAAAGAAATGACATGAAATATTCTCAGAACTGGACTTAAAACATTGTATTTGAATTTTTAATGCAAAAGGTGGAAAAGTAGAAAATTAGTGTATATATAACACATGCAATTTATCTTAATTGAAACTCCTTATTTTTATAAGCCTCCTTTTTGTAAGCCATATCTCACTGTAGCCTACTCTATCTTATTTTCAGTTAGGTTATAGCTGCTGCTATGGAAGTTACCCATTTTAAAGTTATCTTCGGACTTAGGGCTGTGATGCAGTGACTTTTGTGACCTTTAGATAGTTGGCTAAGCTTGCAGAAACCATTCTAATAGTATTTAAAAGCATGAGGCTTTTCCTACAGTGGGAATAAATATCTTCTGCTAAATTTTTTTGCAAGTACCACTTCTTTTCTTGTCTAAATGAAGCTATGCATGGCATTCTGTCATTAAAATGAAGAAAAGCAAACACACTTTAAAAATAATATATAAAGTTTTGAATGGTGTGATTATTTTGAGAAAGTCACGAATGTGTTTGCTCTTCAGATGGCAAATGTGGTTTAGGTAAACTTCTGTTATACAGTGCTTCATTGGTGAAAAATTGGTGTAAGATTGCACTATTGATAACCTGTATTGCTGGCTATGCATGTCAAACATGAGTAAGGGCATGTCTTTGCCACTTTTTTCTTGCATGAATCTGGCATGAAAGTGTGTAAATACAGAAATGTGCCTTGTGGTAATGGTGTGTTGATCCTCTTGATTAATGTGTAGTACAGGGGAAATTTACCTTCCACCTATGGGCCACTGACAATAGCCAGGTATTGAACAAAAGATACAAACACAATTCTGCATATTTACAAAGCTTACTGGAGGAGACAGATGGCTTCCCCTAAGGCATTTGTGCTGTTCCTATGTGAAGGGCTGCTCTGATGATGCAGTTGATAATATTTCTGATGATGCAGTTGATAATATTGGGGTTTTTATGGTGTTTTATTCTCTTTGTGCTTAGTGTATTTGAAAAAAATGTGCTTGTAATCAAAGCACTGATGTGATAATGAATGTTTTGGAAGAAAATTATGTGTATGTTTTTGTACAGCTCTACCATCAATCATTTGTTCTGAAGCATGGGGTAAATGGCACAAACTGCTAAGCTTGTGGTAAAAAGAAAAAAATCTCCATTTTGATGTTCAGCAAAATTTTCACACAAAATATTGTCTATCAAAATCAGTTTCCTTTTCCTTTTTAGCTAATTTTTATTTTCCTTTTGAAACTGTTTTTAAGTATTTCTTGAATATTCAGAGGTTTCTTAAGGAATATTCTCAACATATCCGTCAGTAGTTCTA